CTAAAGGGATCTATATGGGGTTACTCTAAGGGGTCTACAAGGGTACCATGATACTGTAGGAACCTGATTAAGGTTGGGCAAAGGGGATAAGGAGGGACCCTTAATGGGGACCTCTACCCTATAATGGGGGGTATATGCGTTTCTGAGGCACTTGGTGCCGTTCCACCCATCGACTCGCTGATCATTTGGTCGCTGGAGCAGGTGGCTCTCTCAGAACCCTAAGTCCCCACATCCCTAAGGAACCCTAAGTCCCCACATCCCAAGGAACCCCAAGTCCCCACATCCCTAACGAACCCTCGTCCCCACATCCCTAAGGCACCATGAGCCCGGGCCCCCAAACCCGAAACATGCCACGATGTCCCAACGAAGACTCGAAGCTCGAAAGGCCCTACAAAAGTCCCAAAAAGCACTTTGCCCTTACTATTACTACTATTATTGAAAATTATTGTTCTAGAATCATTGTTGTTATGACCATTAAACTAAAGTTATTGTTCTAGAATTATGGTTATGACGATGAAAGACCAGGAGGCCGCTAGAGCCACTCAACATGGCTTCATAGCTTTTCAAGACACCCTAGAAGCCCGTAGCCACGTTTACGCCTAAACACTGCCGCCCCCTAGAGCGGCAAAAAGCCCTAAACCCCAGACCCCCATGTGGGAGTTTCCGAAAATAGGGGACCCTAATATAGTACCCTAAATAGTAGGATCCTTGTTACAAGGACCCCCAAATAAGGTACCCCTAATTTTGGGAAAGCCCCATGTCTACAGGAAGAGGCCCTGGCTCCCAGATTACTCAAGGCGTTTCCTTCAGATAGGTTGGAAGATGGGAAGTGCAAGAAGCCCCTGCTGGCCGTGGTGCTAATGGCGAGATGTTTAAATTTGCTGATGGTGGCACTATTGCTACTGGAGCTGCAAAAAAGGGGAAGCGGGGCGACTAGGCGAAAGCTGCTGGGCAAAACGACGACGACACGGAGGAGTCCGATGATGGATGTAATGGCATCAGCTTTGCTTTTGCAGGTCCGGTTCTCGTCTGCAGGAGAGGGCACTGATCACACCTTTCTGGAAAAACCTAGCTCGCAAAAGAAAACCCTACAACGGGGTGGAGGACCACCGCCTCGGGGAGGGCTACCCTGCTTGTGCGCCCACGCCGGGTGATAGGGGCCGTGCTTCGCTCGAGTGGATCCGTCTCCGCTTGACGGTGCGAGTACGTGGCATGCATCCGATCTTCTAAGTGTCGGTGTCTTCTGTTGAAAGCCAAATAGTAGGGAAAAGGGTACCCTTACCATAAACGGGCTACCCCGGAACCCAGTCGTTCATGAGGACATGGCCAGCGTTTCCGGTGATTCCTTGTCCAACCCTGGGAGCGAGGGCTCTCATCTCCTTGATCATTGAGTGCGGGGACCCTAAGCCCTAAACCCCCAACCCTAAGCCCCCAAGTGAAGTCATGGGTATGTAGTGCTGGAGGACCCTGAAGGTGAATTTGCAGGGCATTCAGGGATTTTGTGCAGCTATCGATCAACTGGAGTACCGGAGTTGGGGGTCTAGGATGGGCTGGGTTTTAGGGATTTGGGGAAGTTGTGGTTGGTGCTTCACAGGGTTGCATGAGGTTTTGTAGGTTGAACCCTAATTAAACCCCAAACCCTATGACAAAAACGTGAGACTTAGTCCCCTGAGCCTTTCAGGAGGGCCCTAAATCCTAAACTCTGCACCCTAAACCCGAATCCCCTAAACCCTATAAACCCTGCAAGCCCTGTAAACCTATAAAGCCTATAAACCCTGAACCCGGCAGACCTCAATCATTTGAAACAGTTCCCAAGCTCTCCCCCGGCAGGTTGAGGTGCATTTCTTCGGGGGCACCGCTGCTACGGATGTGAGGCTAGGGTTTAGGGTTTGGGGTGAACTCTGTCTAAAGCCTAGAAGCCCCCTATGTTAAAGATGCATAGGGCGCTGACAGCCCTGCATCCTGAGACTCCTCATAGAAGCCTTGTAAAACCCATGTAGAATGCTCTCAAAAGCCTCAGATCCCTAAACCCTAAACCCTTAAATCCGTAAACCCTAAAATCCCTAAACCCTAAACCCCTACTGTTGGTCGGGGCATGGGAGACAGCCTTGATGGACCGCGCCATGATGGTTACTGCAGCGCCGCCGACGCTAGCTACACCGACATTCCCCGCCAGAGCTGCAGTTCCTGTCGATGCGCTGGCTTTTCATGTGGGGATCATGACAATCTTTGCACTATGCGGTGACTCACCATGGAGCTGCCCTCCTGACCAGGAGGTTTCACACATCCGGGCCAGCTTCGATTGCAACATGTGGGCCTGCTCCATTTCGACCGCTACAGGATCATCCCAGGGAGGTGAGCAACGCGGCACTGGATGTTTTGGAGGCCTCGTCTGCAACGGAGGATGCTACTTAGAGGATCATGGGACTTAGTAACTAGGGGTATAAATAAGGTAACTATACTATAATTACGTATATCCCCACTTAGGGTACTTATAACCATACTTACTAACTCCCATGATCCTCTAAGTATCCATGGCCACAGCGACCTGGAGCTTGAGGCAGACGCCGCGAACTACCTTTCTGGGGATCGGCAGAAGGTGTTCCGGCAAATCCTGAATCAGGAGGATCTGCAGAGAAACCCCTCCTACTCGGACGATAGGATTTTGGAGGTGGATTTTGTCGATGAGGGTTCAGGGTTTAGGGCTTTCGGGTTTAGGGTGTAGGGTTTAGGAGTTTAGGTTTTAGGGTTCAGGGTTTAGCTGTGAGTGTTTAGTGGTTTAGTTGTTCGTTTTTTTTGGTGTTCAGGATGTTGATTCTGTCAAAGGCCTTAGGGTTGAGGATTTACAATCTTATATAGGATTTAGGGTTCAGGTCTTGGGTTTGAGGGGTTCATGTTAGAGGGTTTAATTTAAGTTACCAGAATAAGGAAGCCTTAGTATGTACTCGGATCCCTATTATTGGTAACTGAAATAAAATCCCTTAACAAGAGCCCAGTTGAGGGGTTTATGATTAAGACCTTGCGCCCCAGGCGCCTGTCCCAAAGCCCTATACTCCAACTAGGGTTGAGGGTTGAGGGTTTGGGGTTTCGGGATTAGGGTTCAGGGTTTAGGCTGCCCTGAGACCCTCAACCACAAGCCCTTGCTTGTTGATTCTCGACATCGAGTGTATAGGTAGACCCAGGATGCACCATGGGTGCTCTTCAGGCCACGATGAATTTCAAGCAACCCCAGTCCAAGAAGTTTCATGTTAATCCTGATTCCTCAAGACGGGACAGTGGGAACTGAGCCTCAAACCCTAAGCCCGAAGACTCTAAGACCGTGACCGCCAGAACCTCCCTTAGCAACTAACGCCCAACAAGCCTAATAGAGGGGTCAAAATAAGTACCTGTACTATTTTGGGGGGTCCTCATTACAATTATAAGAGGATGGGCCCCGAGACTCTATTTCCAATTATCAAGGCCCCTATATTAAAACCTTATAGTAACAACCCTTTAAAGGAATCCTACTTCTAATATTAAGGCCCCTATATTGGACGCTTGGCATTCCTCCTTCCCGAAGGCCCAGGCCCAACCCAAAATCCAAAAGCCGAAACCCGAAACGCTAAACTCGAGTCCTAAACCCTAGAGGCCCCAAGCCCAACATAAACTGCAGGGGGAGACCGTTTCAAACTTCAACAAACGTTTGTTGAAGATGCCCCAATAAGTGGTATTCCAGGTGCTGAAGGAAAGTTCATCAAACCCTAAAGCCTAAACCCTCAAGCCTAATTTAAGCCCTAATCCCTAAACCTCTAATCTCCGGGGTTCCACCACCCTGTCTGCCGTTTGAGCTCCGTATAGAACCCCTTAACCGAATTCTTGGACTTGTCCTTCTGCTAAAGCTCCTGAAGGAACCCTTGGGCCCTGCAACTGTTCAAACCTTGTGGGTAGTTGTCAAAATTATGGTTCTCTTTGGGGTCCCTATTATAATACGGCACCTATTTTTTTAAAGGGTACCCAAAAAGGGACCATAATTTTGACAACTACTCTTGTCAAAGCCCTTTGCAAGACTCATAGCGCCCTGTGAGAACTCTTAAGCGACCCTTCAGGAGTCCCAGCACTGCAGGCCTTGGCCCCTTAAGCCCTTAGCCCCAAACCCCCAAACCCTAACCCAAAACCCTAAACACTAAACTCGATAATTAGTACCCTTATCCCTTATCGGAACCCTGATAGCTCCATTAACTTACCTTTGGTTAGTAGGGAATGGAAGAATGGTGGTATCATTGTACCCCATTCCTCTATTCTCTACTAACCAAAGGTAAGATATAGCTCCATCTAAGGGAGCCCTAACCCGCAAACCCCGCAAAAGAAAAGGCGACTGGCACTGGCCCTGGTTGCTAGCGCGGCAGCTGCTGCGGCGCTGGGCGCTGCGACGCCGGGCCGCGTGCCCGAGGGGTTTGGAGTAGAAAAGAGGACTTTGGGGGACTTAAGGGCATACAGGTTAGGGGGCTTCAGGGTTGAGGTTTAGAATTCAGAGCTTCAGGGTTTGGCGTGGTTTTAATGGATTTTCTGCCTTTTGGTGAGCCAAGACAGTGTGAAAGGTTTGGGAACCCGACACGGGAGGGTGGGGAGACGGTGCTAACCTTAAACTCTTCACCCCCTAAACTTGAACCGGAATCGTTATGGAATGTTCAAGGAGTCCCAAACCTAATCCCTAAATCCCCAAATCTCGGGCCCACCAAGGGCTCCATGCCGTTGACATGGACCCAGACTGGCGTGCGGCGGTGGTGGGCGGCATTTGTCGGAGCCCTGGGATCCTAGGCGACCTCCGAAATGTTAGGATCCGAGTACAGAGCCCGGCATTAGGGTTTACAGCTGCGCTCCCTGCCACGGGATATGGCCCGTTGAGGCTCGGGATGGCTGTGATGTGCATTGCATGCAGCGCAGGCGTTGCTGAAGCTCAGGCCTTGGAGAGTCCGCGAGGCTTCTATATAGTTTATAGAGATCTCCTCACCGTCGGCGCCATGGGTTCCGGTCAGATGCCGCCCTGGCTGATGTTGGTGTCGATGCTGATGGCTGCAGCTGGCAACGGCAGCTACACCCTGCAGGAAGCCATCAAGCACCGCAAGGAACTCGGCCAGGAGAACGTGCTCAAGGCCGTCCAGGCTGCCTCTGACATCGACGAGCAGGACGAAGAGGGGCGCACAGCATTGATGTGGGCAGCAGGGAAAGCAGACGTGGAGATCGTGAAGGCGATCCTTCTAGCCGGGGCTGACGTGAACCTCCAAAGCAAAGCCGGATGGACGGCTCTTATGGTTGCTGCTAAGTACGGCCAGCCGGGGATCGTGGAGGCGATCCTCAAGCACAAGCCGGACCTCGACCTCCAAGAGAAGACCGGCTGGACGGCTCTCATGTCTGCTGCTCGTTACGGCAAGCCGGAGACCGTGGAGGCCATGCTCAAGCACAAGCCGGACCTCGACCTTCAAAACAAGATCGGATCGACGGCTTTGGCTGTGGCAGTCCAGAACCCGCACGGCCCCTCCGCGGCCCTGGCCATGGTCCAGGCGCTCCTGCGCGCGGGCGCGGCCGTGGACTCGGCCGACTTTGCAGGGCGGACGCCGCTGATGGGGGCGGCGCTGGAAGGTCGCCTGGAGGTCGTTGAAGCGCTGCTCAAGCACGGGAGCCGCCCGGAGCTGCGGAGCCGCAGCGGCCAAAATGCCCTGGACTTCGCCAGGCTCAGCTACAGCTACACGTCCAGCAAAACTAAAGACTTGTTGGTGCAGCGACTTGAAGCGGTCACTCCAAAGGGCGTGGACTTAGCCAAGAAGTACTTCGCCTCCCGCACCACCTGGCTTTTCCTGGGCTCCGGCCTCGCCTTCGGCGTCTCCGCAGGTTATTGCTTGGTGGCGATGGGAAAGACGGGAAATCCGACAAACTCCGATCACGTGACCGTGCTCATCAGCAGCAGAAGGCTGGCGATCAAGAGCCTGACGAAGGAGATCTGGAAGGCAGAAGCCTTCAGACTGCTGGAGCTCGTGGCCTGCCTCCTCCTGCCCTTCTCCATGACCATGCTGTGGATTGAGCCGCTGAAGTTTTTTCCGTTCTATCTCCTCGTCTACACCCTTCCCGCCCTGGCATGCTGGCAGCAGAAGGCCCTCCGCTTCCCGGCCTTGCTGCTCGTGAGCCCCGCAACCCGACCGGGCCTCCTTTGCCCCGTTCGCCTTCCGCGGGCCGTTGCCACCGTCGCGCAGCTCGCTTTGCTGTATTGGCTGCCAGGGCACTGCTCCCAGCCCATCAGCTACTACATATATGGAAATATGGCATTGGAGAAGGCGACGGTGGCCTTCCCCATGAACGCAATGGTGCACGGGCCCCTGCCGCTGCTGAGCAGGGCCTCTGCTGAGATAGCCTGCCCGGCGAAGAATACATTCCCGGCTCAGGTACAATCGCTGTTCTTCTGCATGCAGTACATCGTGGCCGTCGTCAGCCTTATTTGGGTGTTCCTAGTCACGATCGACACCTGCTGCGGTTTCATGCAGCTTGCTACGAGTGACCAGCAAGCCGTGGAGGAACTGAGCAGGCGCATAGCCGCAACTGAAGCGAAAGACGAGATTTCAAAGATTTCCGGCCCGGTCGCCGTGAGCCCGGAGAGGGCGATTCAGTGCCTGCCTCCGGGAGGCATCTACTTCGCTGTGGGTATGGCCATTTGCGACGTCTTCCTCGACATCTACAGTGCATATTCTTGCGTAGTGGCCGCGCAGCTGAAGTTTGCATCCCTCATGGTCGCTATCGTCAGCACTTCCTGTACGGTGGAAGCCCTCACCAGCGCCCCGTGGACCCTCCCAAAGCAAATAGCAGCCTCCTTGCATCGAGGCTTGTCGACCGATGCTCTGCGTCATGCTCTAGAATTCGAAGCTTCCTTCGAGGCCCCGTTATCTTTGTGTCTTTCGGCATATGCCTTCGTCTTCAACGTGCGGGGCGGTGGCCTCCTAACGCTGGTCCTCTCCCTTATGAGTATCATCCTAAGCACCTACAACACTGCCAGCTACTTCTGCTGGAGCATCGACTTGGGGCTGCACAAGGACTACGACGAGATGGGCCAGGATACCACAAAGAAGGACCGTCATGTTCGCATGCGCACACAGTTTGGTTCAATTTCTATGGAGGTTTTTTCAGGACATAGACGAGACTCCACAAGAAGACAACTCCAGAAAGGCCAGATTCAAGAGACGCACGTAAAACAAACAACAAGCGAGAAGTAAAAAGCTGAAGCCCGGAACAACACAAAGCACATGCGCTGGACAAGCAACCAAACCGTTCAAATTAGCAAACAAGGAATGGAAGGCGAGATCGTACCGAACAGTAGGCCGCTTAGACACACGCACCCAGACAAGCAATCGGTCAATCAGTCAGTCAATCATTTTCTCACTCGCCCACTCGCTCACTCAATCAATCAGCTATTTGACTATTTAACTAATTGGTTGAGTAACCTTTTACCTAATCGGTAAATTACTTAATAAATTAATGAGTTAACTAACTAGTTCATTCATTAATCAGTCAGTGAAACAATATATGATATATAGAGTACGCGCATACCAGAGCCAACCACAAACAGCAACACCAAAATCATCCAAAATCAATTGACAGCCATCTTGTTGATAAGTGTCTTTCTGTAGCTGCGTTGACTTGCTCTCAGAGTGTGGCTTTGTGTTATTCTGTTGGTTTTGCTCAATGTACTTCTACAGTCTACGGTTGTGTTTGTATGTTTTCGTTGTGCTTTGTTGAGTCGAGGCTTTGTGTTCTCTTATCTGTCAGAAATAGTTCTGTGCGGGCTGCGAGTTTCACAACGACATCTGCAGTTGTGTAGCACGTGAGGATTTCGAGTTGGAGCTGTGCGACCACGAAGAAGGGCTACGTTTACATGGTCTCCGGCAAGGGCACGAAAGTGTTGATAGTAGGCACCAGTGTCTTGCCCAGTGTCAGGAAACTTCAGACTTCCGTTGCGCTGCTGCTTGTTTCTGAGATTACACTCGCACATGCCTGCTAAGTAGGCAGCGTGATCTGTTCTCGGAGACAGCGGCACCCTAGCTGAGCATATTATAGCAGCTGTTCATGGCGAAGCCACTGCTGCTTGTCGCGGACTTTGCAAGTTGCAAGTAATTGAGGCAGCGTACTAGCCTCGAGTGACATGAACGAATGAGAGATTCCAAGAAGGAATGAAGGACAACATCTGTTACTGGAATGTTTCACCGTTGTACAGGGACGAGGAACCACCCTACGAAAGACGGAGCGAACAGCCCATCTGGAACCTTTATGTGACTGGAAAACAACTCTTGTGACAAAGCACTTGACCTTGAAGCCTCAAGCCCAATTAGCAGAGCTCCGTGCAGCCGGAAAGCCCCCACCAAGGTCTTGCGCTTGCAGCCCCTTGGCGTCAGAAATATGGCCGAAGTCTACCCCCCTAAACCCCCCAAACCACCTACACCTTCAACTCAGGCCTGCGTGGCGCCCTTGCCTCCTCGCGCTCGAGACGTCCCCAAGGCATCCTCTGGCTGAGGGTTCCATGGAACCATCGGGCCACGGTTTAGGGTTTAGGGTTTAGGGGTTCAGGGGTTTAGGGTTTAGGGGTTTAGGGGTCTAGGGGTCTAGGGGTTTAGGGGTTTAGGAGTTTAGGGGTTTAGGGGTCTAGGGGTCTAGGGGTTTAGGAGTTTAGGGGTTCAGGGGTTTAGGAGTTTAGGGGTTTAGGGGTTTAGGAGTTTAGGGGTTTAGGGGTTTAGGAGTTTAGGGGTTTAGGGGTTTAGGGGTTTAGGGTTTAGGCTCGGGCTTACGTGGGGTAATACAGGGCCTTAGTAAGTTCTTATACGGTTTCGGGGACTCCTGATCATAACTGAAATTATAACTACAGCCTAAACCCTGAAACCCTAAGCCCTAATATCGGGGCTAGACAAGTACCTATACTATTTTGGGGGCTCCTCATTAAAACTGCAGTATAATATCCACCAAACCCCGGTTCTGATTATTATGTCCCATATGTTAGACATGGTTGGGCCAGGTTTGCAACTCGAGGGGTTAGCTGTTAGGACATGGCTTGAGAAGCCTCTTAACCTTTCTATGGGGGTTTAGGGTTTAGGGGTTTAGGGTTTAGGGCAAACGGTACTAGACATACAGGGACGATAAGGTTGTTCTCCGCTGCTTTCGTTCATGATTCCTGTTGTAAGACTCGGGGCATTGTCTAGTCAGGTGTTTAGAGAAATCCTGGTTTCGAAGGGTCAGAGGGCCTAGAGGGCTCATTTGTAGGGCCCTCCCCATCTGGATCCGGGCTTTTTATGGTTTCTAGAGATCAGGGTTCCGTCGTAGGTTTAAACCCTAGACCAGCCCCGACATAAATGTCTGAATAAAAGCAAGCATAATGATGGCAATCCTAGCATTGTAGAACTGTAGCTGGTAGCTAGCATGAGGAAGAGGTTTCAGGACGATAGCACGAATAGCAGTTAGCAGTAGACAGCCAATGATCGGTGCAACAGCAACCACATAAGCATCTGGAGCAGCAGCGACAATTGTAGTTTGAATAGCAGTTACAGCAGCTGCTTGGCTAATTATGACCAAGGGCTTCAAGCAGTGTTACTAGCAGTGACACGTCGGTGTCAGTTTTGAGGTCAAGTAGTGCATATAAGCTGCATAAACAGACACAGTATCAAACCCTTGTATAACACCTCCTCTGAACCGGAACCTACACACCTGCTTTTAACATCACACTGAAGAACCACTTTCAAATACTGTACAACCCTTACAGACACTACAGAACCCTACAGATTTGGAATCAGCGATATTGCAAGCAACCCTAAACCCTAAACCCCTAAACCCCTAAACCCTAAACCCTAAACCCTAAACAGCAATATTGCAAGCTGAACTGCGGGTTGCTTGACATAAAAAGATCAAACTTTACATTCTACATATGGGCCTCCCGAACCACTTCGTCGCTGCTGATTTAGGCTTCGGGGCTTACAATTCACGTAGTCCTAGCCTTCTTTGATTCCATAGAACTTTTTACAAGTCTACACTTCAACAGCAACCTGTTTTGAGCCAAACGCGGCAACCAGAACCGACAAGGAGATAAAGGTTTTCACAACCCAGCCGACCGAAGGGTTTCAGGGACTCGGGTTTCGATAAGGGTTCTTCAGTGGTTGTAGAAAGTTACATTTGTCGGCCGGTATAGAGAGCCTAATCGTCTTGGACGATCTTGGATAGTGGCCTTGTTCAGGGTTCCTTAAAGTTTTCTTTTGTGGGCTGATTCGCATGCAAACTCTGAACCCCGAATTCCCCCAGCCCAGAATGTTCAGCCTACATCAACCAAGCTCTCCAGCCTGAAGCCATCCGAACAACCCGCATAAAAATCCATCATAAAGCCCTGACAGCATTCTTCAAAAAAACCCAAACCCACAAAACCCTAAAACCCCAAACCCACAAAACCCTAAACCCTAAAACCCCAAACCCACAAAGCCCTAAACCCGAAAACCCTAAACCCTGAACCCTAAGACCCTAAACCCCAAATCCTAAACCTTGAACCCAAAACACCCAAAGCCCCCCCAATAAAACTGGAAGCCAGGTCCGGGAGCCCCTAGCAGCCCTCCGCACCGAAAGCCTAAGCCACTAAACCCTATGGATCCCCCAGAAACCCTTAAGGGTTCCCTTTAAAGGAACCCCTAAAGGGTTCCCTTAAGGGTTCCTTACGGGAACCCCTAAGGGGTTCCCTAAAGAGTTTCCTTAAGGGTTCCCTCAAAGGAACTCCTAAAGGGGTTCCCTAAAGAGTGCCCTTAAGGGTTCCCTTGTAGGGCCCTGAGGAGGAATCCTTGACAGGAACCCTGAGTGTTAATGTAGAAACCTGGGCAAGTCTCATCCGTGAAAAGGAGCCTTTAAAGGTACCCACAACTCCCCGAAAACGGGAACCCCAAAGCGCCGAACCTAAACCCTAAGCCTTCAAAATCCTAAATCCTAAACCCTAAGCCCCAAACCCCCGAGGCCCCAAACCCTAAATCGTAAATCCCGACCCCCAAAAAAACCTTCAAGCCCCCCAAAAAGGGAAGCCAGAAAGGGACCCTATAGATCCCTTAAAGGATCCCTATAGATGCCTTAAAGGAACCCTATAGATCCCTAAAAGAGCCCTCGAGCCCCAAAACAAGCGAAAAGCCAGGCGCTCTGCAGAGCTACCTCCGCCCTCCTCCAGGCCCGGAACTGTGGTTATTTGACAACTAGGGGGCCAGGCTCCCTAAAAGGGATCTGTAAGGGTTCCTTCATGGGATCTATAGGGTTCCTTACAATGATATCTATAGGGGTTTAGGGTCTACTTAGAGGATCATGAGACTTAGTAACTAGGGTTATTTGACAACAGTAAGTAAGGTTCCTAAAAGGGGTCCTTCATAGGGATCTATAGGGTTCCTTAAAGGGATCTATAGGGTTTAGGGTTTAGCGTCTACTTGGAGGCCAAGGGACGTAGTAAGTAGGTTTTAAGTAGGGTTATCATTGGAAAGGCTACTTATAACCCTAGTTAAACCTACTTACTAAGTCCCCTAAGCCTCTAAGTAGGGGCCGGAATCCTGGACCCTAAGCCCGGAAACTCGAAGCCCTTAGGGTACTTATACCACTATTTACTAAGTCCCACGATCCTCCAAGTAGAGTTGCTTTAAAGAGGCCCGAATAGTTTGAATGGGGTTCCTCTAAAGTGGTACTAAAACTTTTTCTGAAGAGTTCCTGTGAAGGAAGGATTCGGGGTCAGGATGTATGGGTTTAGGGTTTAGGGGCTGGGGTTCAGGATGTTAGATTTAGGGGTTTAGGGGCTTGGGTTAAGGATGTTAGGGTTTAGGGTTAAGGATGTTAGGGTTTAGGGCTTAGGGACAAGGGTTCATGATGTTAGGGGTTCGGGTTTAGGGATTATGGTTCAGGATGTTAGGGTTTTAGTCTGTAAGGGTTCTTTGTTTTTCAATTCAGTGATTCCTCAACCCTATAAAAATCTACCAGCACCGACGTTTTTGTAGGTTTTTCTTTGAAACCCCATTCTGGAAAATATAGGGACCCTACAGAAAATGTAGGGCTGTGCAGGTCAAGGCACAGTATTTCCCAAGTCCCCGAATTCCTACTCACGGCCTAAACCCTAATTCAACTAATTCCTAAACCCAAACTCCCAAACCCTAGCTGAACCAGTTTACTTACCTTTGGTCAGTAGGGCATGGAAGAATGGTAATAATAGTAGTTATCATTGTACCCCATTCCTCCATTCCCACTAACCAAAGGTAAGTTTAGCCCGCTGTGGAACCCTTCAAGAACGCAAAGCCTCAACACTGCTACAAACCGAATTTCTCTACCTCGAGCTCCAAAGGAAACCCGAATCTAGGTTCCCAAGAAGCCCAGGGTTTCTTAATCAGGTTCCTGCATTACAGTGAACCTCAGAAAGTTGGAACGTAGGTTTAGGAGGATTGGTGCTAGGGTCCCCTATACTTTACCTCAAGGGCATTAGGATATTGATGTTCCAACTTTCTGGCTTCTACTATAAGCCAGAACGGAACCCGCTATAGTTCGCTAAGGGAGCCCCTGGAAAGGAACCTGCAGACCTTACTTGCCAAACCCCACCCTAAACCCAAAACCTAAACCCTAAGCCCCAAACCCCAAACCCCAAACCCTAAACCCTAAACCCTGAGCCCCAAAAGCTCCCAAATCCCACAACTGCCTAAACTCGCAAGCCCTAAGCTAAGCCCGATGACTCCTCCAAACCCTACGACCTCTAAACCCGAAATCGTTTGACCCTTATGGTACCCCATTATAGAACCCTTCCCTCGACCGGAAACCCTAAACCCTAAACCGCCCCTAAACTTCTAAACCCTAGACCCTCAACCCTAAACCTTGAACCCTAAACCCTAAACTCGAAACCTTAAACCCTAAACTTTGAACCCTAAACCCTAAACCCTAATCCGAATCGCCGGCACCGCAGGGGGCGAAGTTGGGCCCAGAGCCTCCCGGCCCCTTCTCGT